CACACAACCCTTGTCATATCACCATCGAGTAGGTCGTTGTCCAGCGACGAGTCTCCGCTCCCATTGGTGTGAACCGTTAACTCATCCTCTCCTAGTGCATGTTCAACTCATGTGCTGCTTGCTTTGTGTATTTGATCATGAGCAGACCATTTAGCGTGTGAGCTAGCTAAATAGCACAATTTTCTACAAGTTTACCTTGATATCTACTTCGTGGAAGTGTATTGAACAAGTTAATTAAGCAACCAAGATAGTGCCAGAGGTGCAAATGAATGTTTTATTTAATTACAACAAACTGCAAACTTCCATTTTAGATAGCGGCGATTCACATAACAGAACGCCATGCGACACCTTATTACTAGACAAAACATCAAAGGCTCGTCTAGCTCACCAAGTAAAGACGCAGGGGTTAAATCGGACAACAAGATCGCAGAGACAACATTCTGCACCTCAAACTAATATATACACTACCCCGATTGCGTATGCTTGATATGACCAAGAAAAACCTCTTAACCAACGTGCACATGGTACATTCTTGTTTATTTTGCATGCAAAGAAAAAGGTTGCCGGTTCACCAAGTCTTCCATGCATACAAAACCTATGTCTCATGTAGCTCCTACGAGGTACTCCCTCCGTTCTGAAATATAAATCTTCTTAGAGATCCCAACAAGTGACTACATACGGAGCAAAGTGAGTGAATCTACACTCTAAAATATGTCTACATATATTCGTATGTTCTAGTCTATTTGAAATATCTAAAAAGACTTATATTTAGGAACGGAGGAGGTACAACTCATAGCAATTAATTGAACCGAAAGTTATAGGCACAACTATTGGCCTCCAAGAAGGTTGGTAATGCTCAGTATGGTTTCTCCCAATTTAGCCTGATTGATGCTATCGCCTGCCAAGCGAGACATGAAGAAGGCTGGCCAATCAATCTCAAACGGGATAGGCGTCGTGCACTCGCCGCAAAACTTGTCGATGACCTCCTCCACTGTCCCGGTTTGAAGGTTAGCAACATATACACACTGTTTGAAGTAGGGGCTTGCCTTGATAAGCAATACACCGCTCCTCTCCCCTGCCCACATGTAATGCACTATCTTGGTATGATTCTGCTCCGGTCGTTCTAGCTTGATCATCTTAGTGTGGCGCCAGTCTCTGGTGCAACCTCTGCTCTTTTTGTCACCTCGACATGTCCATATCTGCGCTCTTAGGCATTTTTTATGTAATGCAAGCAGTGATAGCACTCCGTTGGTGACGCTTAGCCGTGGTACGTCCCTAAAGTTGCGGCCGAGGCTGCCGAGTGTGAGCGAGAGCTTCGTCAAGGTGGTATGGCCCGTCTCAACGCTCGCGTGCAGCGTGTAGAAGTTTGAATTGTCCCTGAAGAGCCAGTGCGCCGCTCCTTGGCACACGACCGCGTTGACCTGTGAAGGCGCCAGCTGAATGCCGTGCTCTGAAGGGTCGAAGCAGTTTTCAGGCGCCCTCCAGCTCGACTCATCCGACGAGAACATGGAGATACTGTACTGCTGGTCATCGTTGTCGAAGCCAATTATTAACACTTTGGAGAAGGCCGAGCAGGTTGATAACACCGGTTGTTGTTGTTGTTGTTGTTGTTGTTGTTGTTGTTGTTGTTGTTTGGAGCAACAGCCGGTTAGAATAGCACAACCTTTGATCCTGAAAAGCCTGTCATACTTGAGCGTGGGCAGCACGCGGCTTGTGCCACTGAGCGGGTCGCACACGGCCAGGTTGAATTCCTTGTATGCGTCCCGACGGTGATGGCCGGCGAGGAGATGCACGAGAAGAAAGCCGCGGCGCGAGGCGAGTGGCAATTCCCGCATGTCGCCGGCGTCGGCGAAGCTCGCGATGGGGCTGCGAGGCCGAAAGGGCGACGAGGGCGCCGGAATAAAGGACGGCACATGCCTAATTTTGTAGCTCCGTGGACCGGCTGATCGATATTCCTCGGCGAAGAAGCCGAGGAGGGAGGAGGGATGGTGCGTGTCCTCTGGCCAGCGGCGGCGGAGGAAGGATGGTTGTGCTACGAGGAACCACCAGCGCTTGCACGTCGCCGCGCAGCGGAACAGGTGCGGGGCATCCGGCATGCGTACCAGGATTTCCAGGACCACGTCGTCCGGCAGCGTCTCCATGGATCTTCCTTGGGGCCGGCCGGCGGGTTGGCACTTGTTGCGAGAGCTCTCTACGTACGATTGAAGGCCAATCTGATTGCTATACGGATGATATATACATTCGCCTACAGTTTTACGTGAGTGCTCTATATGTTTCTCCTTTCTCGATGCAACTTCTATTTATTTGGAATTCACGTACTGTTAACGTCCGAATCGTGTTGAGAGTCCGAGTCCGAGAGTTTTCCTGGACCTAGAGTGCCGTGCGTGTTACTCATCTTTGCTTCAGATTTTGTTTGTACTAGTACAAAAGAATTTGCCTGGTTACTATTGTCTTCGGATGCAGAGACCGGACACTTACTGGTAATGAAAGCAAACACCATTGTATGTTTGTAACTAAACACATGGAAGACCAATTTTTATTTAAGAGACAAAAATGTTTTTAGTTCCTTCTGTTTACCCGCAGCACCCCTCCCATCCTTCAGTTGTTGATGCTGCGGATATGTTCGCTAGATCATGGATCTCACCGGTGGTGGGGTGGCACAGTGGGTGGCGACACGCGGCCGCACAGCCGATGGTTGCTGTGGTGGTGGTGGGGCAGCGCGGGGAGGAAGAAGGTTGTCGGGTGTGGGATGGGTGCTTCGGGGAGAGAGCGAGAGAGGGGGTGGGGGCGATGGTGAGTGTGTTTGATCAAACAATTGTCCTTGGTAGACCATGTTTTAGAAAATGTCTACATTGTACAAAAAATGTAAGTACCATTCGTATATATATATATATAGGTAAATTATGTGGGGCACCTAGGTCCCAGTATAACAAGTTATATTTGACATAGTGACCTTCCAAATTTTGTTTGCATGCATTACAACCATCAATGGTCGATAATTGCTTTCCAAAAAATTAATATACTACGGGTTTCCTTATATGATTTCTTTCCAAACAAAAATGATACGTATATACACTGTCCATTTTTTAAGGTATCGGATATGAAAAAATATGTAATGTCATCCCAAAGGTTTGTACGTATATTAAGGATATTCTTATTCATTTTTCTAAAATTTAGCTTTTCAAGTTATCTAGTATTTTTTTTAACTTAAGGCCCGGTCACACTTTTAACTGTTAATATTTTTATACAAATTAAGGTGACCAAATAATATAAACTATGATCCTAATTATTATTTTACTTGTAGGAATATATAATACCCACGCATGATTTTTTTTCCTACGTATATATACCCACGCAAGAAAATATATTGCTTACTCTGGGTATATACATACACAAAAATCTAATGGATACGTACTAAATATTCTGGGTATATATATACAACAAAAATATAATGCTTTACATACTAAATATTCTAGGTATATACCTACTAAAAAAATCTAATGAGTGTGTACGAAATAAACGAATCCGTACATATCTAATCTAATTGGTATGTACTATATGTCCTAGGTATATACATATGAAAACAATCTAATGTGTACGTATTAAATATTCTGAGTATGTTTACATACTAAATATTCTACATATATACCTACTAAAAAAATATAATGAGTGTGTACCAAATAAACGAATCCGTACATACCTAATCTAGTTGGTATGTACTATATAACCTGGGTATATACATATGAAAACAATCTAATGCGTGCGTACTAAATATTCTGGTCATGATACACACGCATGATTTTCCCTACGTACATATAACCACGCAAGAAAATATATTACGTAATTTGGATATATACATACACAAAAATCTAATTGAAAGGTTCTAAACATTCTAGGTGTATTCATACAAAAAAAATATAATGTGTTACATACTAAATATTCTAAGTGTATACATACACAAAAGAATATAATGCGTTACATACTAAATATTCTAGGTATATAGATACTAAAAAAAAATCTAACGACTGTGTGCCAAATAAACGAATCCGTACACACCTAATCTAATTGGTACGTAATAAATATTCTGGATATATACATAGATAAAAATCTAATATGTACGTACCAAATATTCTAGGTATATATGAATAAAAATCTAACAAGTACGTACTAAATAAATGAATTCATACATGTATGAAATAAATATCCGTATACCTAATGTTTAGTATTTTTTCCTTCTAAAGATATGTTACCATGCATGGCGTGCTTAATGATATCCATTAAATGATAAACGTCATAATTGTTTCCAAATCTATTTACTTCAGAATTGGCAGTTACTAATGGATTGACCGATTAACTTATATACCTATCACAATAGCACGCATCTAAATACAATCAAATGGTGGAAAGGCAAGGAGCCTGGGCACCTAGATGTCCCAAACTGCCATCTTATATATATTTTTAAAACACACGATGAACAATATATATATATATATATATATATATATATATATATATATATATATATATATATATATATATATTGTTCATCGTGTGTTTTAAAAATATTTTTTATATATATATTCGCGCTATTCGTCACCCTGGGTGAGGAATAGTTATTCTTCACCCCCTCTCAATTTTGACATCAATGCAACGTATTTTTATGTTTCGTAAATTTTATACATAAAAAAAGAGCGTAAGAAAATATGTATTCACCGTAAAAAATATTTTATGTTACGTAAAATTATGAATGTAAGAACATAGTGTAAAACGTACATAAAATGTGATTTTTCTGATTTTATAACCTTTTTATACCAAATTTTACATATTGAATCAATATGCATGTAACTATTTATATTGTAAACGTAATTTATTTAGGAAGCGATCGTAAGATTACTTCGGGTGAAGAATAATTTATTCTACACCCTGGGTGATGAATAATAACACCATATAAAAAACGTTCAATGTGTATTTTGAATTTTTTAACATGTATTCAAACAAATTTCCAAACGAATATTTCAAAACAATTACAACGTGTATTTGAAAGATGCTCAACGTGTATCAGAAAAATGTTCCACATGTACACTTAAAATATCCAATTTGTATTGAAAATAGTAGACATGTGTTGAAAAAACAAAGAGAGAAACACTGACAAACAGTAGAAAAACAGGTCAAGAAATGAGAAAAAATCTACCACTACAGAACTGGGCCGGCCCACTCCCTCCCACCAAAAGACGAGACCGAGTTACTCGCAACGGCCGAGAAATTGACCTGGGGCTGCTGCGATTGTGTTCTTTCCTTCTTCTTTTTTTGTTTATATTTTGAAATATTATAAATATATATAATACAAAACTAAATCTACTTCAATTTTTGAAAGAGTTCATTGTACATTTCAAAATGGTTCATTCAGTGTAAAAATATTGTTCACTCAATTTAAAAAATATTCATACCATTCAAAAAACTGTTTGACATGTATTAAAAATGTTTAACATGATTTCGAAAAATGTTTTAACATGTTTTAGAAAAATGTATAACAATTATTCAAAAAAATTCAAACATTTATTTCAAAAATTGTTCATCATGTGTTTTAAAAATGTTCAATGTGCATCAAAAAAATGTTCAGCATGCAGCTGGAAAAATATGTTCACTCTGAAAAAATGTTCAACCTGTACCTAATTTTTTTATTGTGTATTTAATCTTTTTAAAGTGCATATGAAATATTTTTAACATGTATTAAAAAATTCAAACATGTATTCAAAAAATGTTCATCAAGTATTTTTAAAATCTTCATTCTTTTTCTTCCCATGATGAAGCCGTGTTAGACATGACATGGAGAATAAAATATGACAGGCCAGGCTTTATATAACCGGCTTTATTTCCACGACAAACACAATTTCTATGGAAGCATCCTTGCTGAATTTAGTTTTTGTGAGATCCTTCAATGTTTGTGGGATCCTGGATTTTTTGTTCTTATAATTTCCTGGTGATCTACCAAGGTCTTGCTTTTTTTAGGGAAGGCCAAGCTCTTGCTGGCTAGTCCCGAGATTTATTGTTGTAGTGCCGGATCCAGCCCAATGGACCGGAGTGGGCAATGGTGGAATTGTTTGTTTTTATTTATATATAAAGGCTATTTGGAGATCCATGATGTGTTTCAGGTTGTTCCACCATTAGTTTGTTGGACCAATAGACTGGTAGGAACAAGTATATGATCAAATCAAAAAAGGCGGGTGTGGCGACTGCTACAAGAACCTGAGTCATTAAGTGCACATATTCTGAAGGCCGTCTACTTCCCAACAACTTCTATCCTTGAAGCAAATTTGGGCTCTGGCCCCTCACAAATATGGCGTGCAATATTGGATGCCCGAGATGTTCTGTGCCAAGGTATCATCAAACGCATCGCGGATGGGTAGACTACACCCATGTGGGTTTGCAACTCGATCCCTAGGGAACCGCTACTAACCTGGTTGATTCCGAAAGAACAAATTTCCTAAAATTTACATGCTTACATTACTGAGGTAACATTGCACTTTCTCTAAATTGTAATTGCTAGACCATGGTATCTTTTTTATTTAGACAATGGCATTATTATTGTTTACACTATGACAATTTATTATTATTAGACCATGGTAGTTTTACTGTAGGTAGTGTGGCAAAAACAATTTGGAGGGTGGTATCATCATCATCATCATCATCATCATCATCATCATCATCATCATCATCATCATCATCATCATCATCATCATCATCATTATTATTATTATTAAAGCGATGGCACTTTTCTTTTATTGTTCTTTCTTGCAAAACACCCTAATGTTTTCCTACAAGTTTTGCCTTTTTTTCGAAAATGATCCAGATCTATTATCAAAGTTTTCCGGAAGTACAAAATGTCTAAAACATAATAGAATTACATTGAGATTCTGACACCACCGAACGATGACTACCGCCGGCGCATGCGCTGCTAACACCGCTCCTCTATGGCTCTACCAGAGCCGGATTGACCTTGTCGATGACAGTCTAGAAGTCTTCGTGCATTTGCCCATAAGGACCAGCGCCCTGAAGCTGCAGCCCTCGCCGTTGAACCCTTGAATAGATCTGAATCGCCTATCACCAAATCTCGACACACGACGACAAACATTAACCCCGC